CACACACACACACACACACACACACACACACACACACACACACACACACACACACACACACTAGAGCACGCTTTAAGATTCATCCATGATTGAGATGTAGTCTGAAGGTGGAGGTCAAGTGGCGTGTGTTGCTGCTGCTCTCACCTGTGTGGTGTTCCCTTGGTGACAGGTGGTATTTTGGGAAGATGGGGAGAAAGGATGCGGAGAGACAGCTGCTGGCTCAGGGGAATCAGAGAGGAACTTTCCTCATACGAGAGAGTGAGACCACCAAGGGTGAGGAGGAAAACACTTTCAACACTCACACTCAGTGTCTCGTAAAAAAGGGTTTCTCTCTGCTCTGTTCTTCACCTCAACCCACTTAAAGCCTGTTGTTTTTGGCCCCAGGAGCCTACTCTCTGTCCATCCGTGACTGGGACGACAACAAGGGAGATCATGTCAAGCATTATAAGATTCGGAAACTAGACAATGGAGGCTACTACATCACCACCAGATCACAGTTTGACACTGTTCCACAGCTGGTCCAGCACTACACAGGTAACACACAAACTCCTCCTTCTGTGACTTATTACCTTAAAAATGTTTTAATTATCGAAACAGTCAGAAAACAAAAATAAAAAAATGAGTCATGCTGTTGCACAACTGACCACTGCACACAGTTAGTGCAGAGTGTGTGCAACACGCTGCTTCCGTACTTCTATCTGATACCGCTTTGTACTTTTTTTTATCGCTTTGCGCTCATGTGGCTTTTGTCTTTACTTTGTAAAAGTAGGGTCTACTACAAAAAAAAAAAAGTCATGCCGTGCGACAAATAAAAGTACTTTACAGAACGTGTAATAAAAATAAGCTCTATCAGCGGCAACAAAATACTGAATTTGACATTTTGATCCTCTATTATACAAGATTCAAGATTCAAGAGTTTTATTGTCATATGCCCAACATACAAGCAGTTACACTGCAATGAAATTCTTTCTTTGCAGTTCCTCTATTTACTGACGGTCTGAGATATTATAAATAAAGTACAACAGAATACAAAAGTAGGGTGGACAGAATAATGGATATTTACAGTTTTTACATTTTTGTTGGACAGTAGCAGCTGATTTTTTTTGTGCAAAAAGGCACTGTATACAGAATTATAGACCAGTATTTACAGTTTTTGCAGTATTTATGGACAGTAGCAGCAGAATTTGTTTATTTTTATTATTTTTTACAACAAATCTAAAACAGAAAAATGAATGTTTTTGACATATTTTTGACTGATTATCAGTTGGATACAGTTTGTATGACACAACGTCTTGCACTTCCTCTGCAACTGTCAGTGTGAGCCTGCCCCCTAGTGGCTGAAGCAGCTAATGGAAAATAATCTGCTGTTTGTGATCAGTAGCATCTCTGTGTGGCTCACGCTGTGTTTATGTCCCGTGGTGCTCTTTACTTTTGCTTTACTTGAGCTTGATTTTTGCACATAAGAAACGTGTCTAGTTCTTCCTTTTGTCTCTGCACTTGCTCTGTTCTTCTGTCTGTCTGTCTGTCTGTCTGTCTGTCTGTCTGTCTGTCTGTCTGTCTGTCTGTCTGTCTGTCTGTCTGTCTGTCTGTCTGTCTGTCTGTCNTGTCTGTCTGTCTGTCTGTCTGTCTGTCTGTCTGTCTGTCTGTCTGTCTGTCTGTCTGTCTGTCTGTCTGTCTGTCTGTCTGTCTGTCTGTCTGGCTCTCCCTCAGAGAGAGCGGCAGGACTGTGCTGCCGTTTGATTGGCAGCTGTAAGCGGGGCATGCCTAAGCTGGCCGACTTATCTGTGAAGACCAAGGATATGTGGGAGATTCCCCGCGAGTCTCTCCAGCTGATTAAGAAACTGGGCAACGGCCAGTTTGGAGAAGTCTGGATGGGTAGGACTGATGGGGGGTTTTTGTTAAAGGGGGAAGCAGGGAGACAACATCACACACTTGAATAAAAATATATATTAGATTTATCAAACGGTGAGTTTGTTGCACGTTTCTGGTGTAAAGACCTGACAAACTAACTGTTGATTTGYGTAGCAAACTGAGCTGCAGCTTGTCTCCGTTTTAATTTCCGAGACAAATRGTTTGGAAACAGAAAAAAAAGCTGAGTTAGCATTTCGCATCCAGGTGTGCTGAGTTGTTTTCCCTTCATCCCCCTGTGGTTGCATGTGCATGTTTTAAAATCTCACATCCTCTTTGGTTTTTTTTTTGTCCCATCTTTCCTCCCATCACTCTTCTCCCCTCCTCATCCACTTTCCTTTCCTCTCCTCCATCTCCACTCTGTTTCTTTTGCACCCCCTCCACCCCTTTCTCCCCCACTTTCAGGCTCTAACGATGGGCTGTGTTATTACCTAACCAAGCCCTGCCCCAACTCCACCCCCCTCACCTTGGGTCTTGGGCGAGATGCCTGGGAGGTATCGAGGGAAACGCTGGCCCTGCAAAGGAAGCTGGGACAGGGCTGCTTCGGGGACGTATGGATGGGTGAGACAGTCTCTGCTGACTCTCTGTGAAGGAAAAAAAAAAAACATCCTATAGTCCTGACAGATTTGATGGTATTCCTATGTTTTTGCAGATTTAAGTCACAAACTTTCAGTGGCTGGCTCTGAGTGTTTTTGGCTTTCTGAGCCATGCAGGGTTTCTGCCTGGAGCAAGCAGAGATCTGTGCCTGTCCTTGTAACTCAGGTGCAGCTTTTAATGGTGTAAGAAAAACCAGAAAGCCTCTCATCCTCTTCACCTCCCTGCCTTTTCACCTCACCGTGTCACATCATGCATGCTCTCTGAAATAACAATCACGTGCATGCACCAGAAATTTACCACATGTGACAGATTACCTTGTTTTTTTTTTTTTTGTATTTGTGTTTGTGTCTCCATGTATGCTCCATATATCGGATCAGATGCTACATGTAGACACACGGCTATCAGCATCACTCTGACAGAGAAATGGGTGTACACGCCTGCAGAGCGAGCCTCCGTGTGAGTGTGTGTCTCTGTTTTCTAACGTCGCCTCGTCTGTATGCCAGGCATGTGGAACGGCACCACCAAGGTAGCGGTGAAGACTCTGAAGCCAGGAACCATGTCCCCCGAGGCCTTCCTGGAGGAGGCTCAGATCATGAAGAGACTTCGGCACGACAAGCTGGTGCAGCTCTACGCCGTCGTGTCTGAGGAGCCCATCTACATTATCACCGAGTTCATGAGCCAAGGTATCGGCTGCTGATTAAACCGTCACCCCCTCTGACATGATGTAGATTTGAACGGCTGCCATCACAGTGGGAGGAAACCTTACTGAAGTCAAACTTTTAAAGTGAAATTAGACTTTTTTCCACCATCTAAAAGTAGGATGAATTATAAAACTGAATTCGTTTTTCCACAAGGATGCCCTTTGTTTTAAATTGTTAGAACTCGCTGGAATCATGAGGAAACAATGGAAATATCTTTAAAACTGACAGAACGTGTTCAGACTTGGATTACACAAAACTGTTGAATTGTGAACGTAAAGGACAAAAGGTTTAAGTAAAATAACAAAAAAAGGTTTATGTGAAATGAGATACTTATCTTGTAAACTAATTTTGTCAACAAATAAACAAATACTAAGTGTAGATGCTTCAAAATGAGCTCACTTTTTAATCTCCTGCTGTTAGTATTTGTTTCCATCTCTCAAATTTACATTTTTAATATCCTGCCCAGCATCCTCCTATTGTTTTTATACAGCTTAGACTCTGAAGGGGGAATACTGAGGTTTATCTATGAACACAAAGACACTAATGCCCACATTTTTAACTTAAATAAGTGCAATCTCCTAATGCTCAGAATATATATTGGAGATAACTCTCAGCAACTACCAAACCATAGTAATTCAGTTCAACTGGCTGAGTTGTAGCCATTTGCTAATGTTGCTTAGCTTAGCTTAGCTTTAGCTGCCATCTTAACTCAGGTGACCCAGGGGTGGAGCTAGATGTTCTTGCGAGTGTTGGCCAGAGTGTTTTTTAGGGGGACGCATACAAATAAAAGGATTTGAAAATTCAAGATGGCTGCCACAGTTTTGAAATATATTTATTTAATTGCT